AAGCCGCCCTGAGTCCCCTCAGGGAAAAGGGCGGCCTATAAATAAACTACAAACAAACAAACAAATATTATAACCAAAATTCTTAGTCTACTATCATACATTGTATGATACGTTTATCATACAATATGTATCATACATTGTCCAGCTCTTCCATTTCAAACTTCAGCATACCGTAAGTTTATACATGTTAGCAATTACACGTTCATTATCAGTACACAATCACACATCAAATTCTTTTTTTGTTCCACATCGAAAACTTTTTATCCATTTTAAATCTTTCTGATAACTGTAAATGGGAAAAGCATTCACAACTATATCTGTATACCTTTAGTTGCAATTTAATTTTATATTTTCCTTGATGATTCTCCAAGAATTCCTGGTCCATTAACCATTTCCCTTCATCTATTTTTTCCTCTTCTGTAAAATAACACTTATGCTGAGATCCAAATAGGTGTTTGGGGAGTTTATATCTATTCCATATTCACAATATGGAATATCTAATAACTATCTTCAAAATACATATCTTCTAAAACTCTAAACAAGAAAATCAAATTATCAATTGCTTTCTCTGCATCTATTTTTTTGTTTTGGAAAAATATCTCTTCTTCTGTTATTCTATTCTATGCACCGTTGTCATCATTTCATTTGCATTTCTTTCAATTCTTCTTTGATTTTTTCCACAAAATCTCTTGCTTTCTACACATAGCTCAGTCTGAATCTCTGCTGTTTAAAAATCAGCCCTTCCAACTTAGCTAAATGTGATCTTTTTCTGTTTGAATGTCTATCAGAAAAATATACTCTTTCCTCTTAAGCAATATTTAAGCTGAAATTTCCCAAGTAAACTTCTATCATCAATCCTCAATCTAAAACAAATATTAAAAAAGAAAGAAATGAAAAGTTAAAAAAGAAAAGTGGAGAGGGAGGAGAAAAGGAAAAACATATTTATAAAAAAGAAAAAACCAAAAGTATAGAAATGATTTCCCATTCATCAAGACAAGTACAAATATTTTCAATAACTCAACACTAATATTTCAACCAAAATCTTTTCATCCCACATCTCATCTTTTATTTATTGGCAAATAATAAAATCTCATTTTTCAATCTTCAACAGTAAAAGTACTAAATCAATTTCATTTTTTCCTTTATGTTGCACAATATCTTGTCATTTTATCTAAAAAAAAAAAGTTTGCAGGAGTGTGTAATCCTCACCCAGAAGCCCAACAGCCTCCTATTTGCTATGAATGTATAAATCCAGTGTTTGCTAAAGAAACTTATAAATATACCAGGCAGCTATAAGAATCCATAGAAATTCCACTAGTATAACAGAATTGAGATGTAAATTGTAAAAATGTATGAGGTTTTAAATCTTACCTCTAAAACCATAAAGATCTTCTTTGGTGTCTCAATTACATGGTACAGACGGCAGATATTCTGGTGGCTTAAGCTCTTCATTGCTTCAATTTCAGTTTTTATACGAGGTAAGTCATCCTAAAAAATGGAAGATTCATGCCATCTCCAGGTTATTTTATGTCAAAATAAATAAGATGAAAGCATTTGTTTGCTTATTTCTTTCCCTATTTTTTTTGGCCTTTTGTGTCCCAATATTTCTGTGTGCATAGGAACTATTTTACTCTTTAATATCTGCCCAGCTTTAAGTCTGTTTTAACTGCTTTCTTTTTGTTCTACAGTAGTCAAAATTTCTCTGCAGAAAAAACACTTAGTGATATTTGTCTCATCTAGTTCTCGTCTGTCTAACTGAGCGTTTTTCAAATTTGACAACTTTGAAGTGTGTGAACTTTAATTCCCAGAATTCCCCAGGCAGAAGCCCACGCATCTTAAAATTGTTAGGTTTGAAAAATACTTGTCTAATCCAATACAAAGGTAAAAGTCAAGACAAGGAGAAATGAGCTTTTCTGAGCAACTTGTGTACAATTCTTCAGGTGCTACATGAAGAAAACAATTATTTTCTCAGGGGTTCAGGAAAAAATATTTGTTATTAAAAACATTGTCCATGTTTCATTTGATCAATCCTCATTGTTTCTTACAATTACTTTAAAGAGCATCTTATCAAGACCACCATGTATTGGGCCACAGCTAATTTTTTTAAAAAAAGGAGAACATTGAATAGGAAGGAAAAATCTGAAATAAAGGCAATCTAGCCTAATGAAAACAGCTGAGCAGAATCAGATGCAATACGTATGGCTGGGATCACAACTCTCCAGCCCATGGGCCTAATTTAGCTTGCTGGGCCAGCTCATCTTCCTCAAATATCATGACCTTCAATATTCTACATCCTGCTGGGACCAGCTGTGTTTCCAAAAGGAACTAAATATTCTGAAATACTTAGTTTGATGGCACTAAGAGAGAAAATCATTTCTGAAGACAGAACTTCATTTTGGAAAAGACTGGGGGCACCACTTCAGTTTCCAATAGAATAAAAGTAATAATTCCTTGGTTTGAAACTCATTATGATGTTTGGTCTATCAAGTCTTCAGAGGTAGACAATTTGACCTTTGGATTACAGTAGTTTGCCTTTTATATCCAACATACAATTCTACCATTAAGAGGCATCCAACTAGCATTATTGTCTAAATATCATTAACGGAATGCCAAATGTTTGGTCTCAGTTAATGCAAAATGCGGCCCAAGAGATTTTAGCATATTCCAAATTCCCTCAGGTTCCAAATTATTTAGGCCAAAAGCCACCTTAACAATTAATGAGCTGTATGATTAGAAACAGTATTTGTACATATAAAACTAATATTCCCTTTCTTAGAAACTCACCCCCAAAGTCAGCTTGTCCATTATTTTTATTGCAACTTGTTCACCAGTAAGTAAGTGACGAGCCAATTTAACTTTTGCAAAGCCACCTACAGTAAGGAAAAGAAAAGCCCACCATGATTCATAATTAGCATTTATATTCAATGCTGCCTTGATTACAGTGATTATTAGCTAGAATTATTGGTTAGGTCAAATATCTCCTTTCCAAGGACAGCTTGTGACTATTTAACAAAGGAGCCCTTACTTAGAGCACCTGTTCAGTATACTATACGATTCTGTCTAGTATAGCCTGCTTCATAATGTCTTACCTTTAAATCTGCAGATTACTCCTGCAGCAAAGCAGATCTTCCTCTAATATGCTTAGGATTCTATTCCGGTAACCTCTATGATGCTATTGCTGCCCCTAGAATGCCCTCCCAACATCCAACTCTTTGAGAAAGGCAAGAGTAAATGGTCAACAGAAACAGTCACAGTATCTGTGAAACTAAGAAAAAAAGGAGAGGATATTACCAAGTTAGGGTAATGAAATGTCTGCAAGAAAGCAACTAAGCTTAGACAGCATCAAGAACCCCTCAGGAGACAATGTAACAGATCTGAAGAAAGACAGCCTGATCATGTAAGATGGAGTTGTAAATGCAGGAAAATGAAGGTGAAGTTTCATTCATGAATCAAGGACTGAATATTTTATCAATAACGTATGAATTTTGATTATGTAGGTGTTGTGGGGGCACATGAAAGTAGGAATCTAGTTAGTTAGTTAATCTAGTTAGGCAACAGTTGCACATTATGTTCCAGTGAAGTGTGATAATGAAAACACCAGAGATGTGCTTTGAGAAAATTATGCAACATTCTGATTGAATGCCACACAGGAGAAAAAAAAATGATCCTGCTCAATGATAGGAATAGATAAAGTCACTCATAAGTGTTTCCTTAGGAAAAAGTCTGTTTTAAAATCATGATTTAATTATAAATTTAGTCATACAAACAGAGCAACGGAAGGAATATAAATCCAAAAACAAGACTGCTGTTGATGAGAGAATTACTGGAGATGATAAGGATTATGAGAGGTTTCTTTTGGTGGTGTCAAGTGCATTTTCAGGGGGAAAAAGGCATGAAAAACTAAGATTTGAACAAAAAGGGGGATGGAAGCAAAATGATTGCAGGAAGAAAAAAGTACAAATCATGTATGAAATCATATTAGAAGATAGGTTTCCAAAATCAGAAAACAAGGGAGAATGCAGAAACTGGTTGGAAAATTTTAAAAAGAAGTATGCTATAGAATGACATTAAAGATTGTGATGTTATATTAATGCAAAACCTAGAAAACATGCATTTGAGGGGATGAAATAAGCTATGGAAAAATGCATTCAGAGATTTTTTGCTGCAGAAAATGGAAGATATATACTGCACAACATAGCAAACGAGTTGAGTCTGAAGGGTAGAGGGCCAGAAGTCTCCAACCACCTCTTCCAGAGGCTGTTTGGATCTTTACCGATAGTGTTTTGATCACCAACCATTCCTTCAGTGATTGATAGAATGTGATCACTCCAGCGACAGGAAAAGGTCTGGCAAAGGGGAGACTACCTACAGAAATCTCCTCTCCTGCAGTGCAGAGATTAGGGAAAGGCTTTCAAGATAGTACTGTAAGCTGTTTGTGTTGCATGCCCATGGCTCCCAGCCTTAGGCTGTCAGTGCAATCATGTTGCTTTCTATGTGTAGAAGAGAAAACAGCATACTCTCTTGAGAGCTCTTTCTCTCCAATGTGTTTGCTGTATGGTGGGGGATAAGAGAAAAAGCAATCAATTTTTGCCGGCAATCTCTCTTTTCAAGAAAGTAAGCTGCTTGTTCTTCAACACATCACAAGCAATGCTATTGCACCAACAGCAGGAAAGGGTCAGTCAAAGGAGGGATTGTCTACAGAAATCACTTGCTTGTTTTTTCACCCCCACCCCAGAGTGGAGAGATTGGAGAAAAGATTACAAGAGAGTACTGTTGCATATGCATGAATCTGTTTACATAGTGTAACTGTGGCTCTCAGCCACCTGCTGCTGGTGCAATCACACTGTTTTCAGTGTGTACAAGACAATAAGCAGGCACCGGAACATTCCAAAGTGCAGGGGAATGATTAGGAGGGAAACAAAGGCTACAGGTGTGAAACTGAGTAGTCTTGTCTCTTTTCAGGTAGAAGGCACAGTTGCGGCCAACTGATTTCCCACTTAGCAATTACTTTGCTTAGTGGTGAAATTGCTAATCCCAATTAAGTTTGTTAAATGAGCTCTATCTGCCTACTGTTTTAGATTGGTGATGTGGTAACTTCCACTGCCATAAGCCATCTTCCAGAGGAACCTCATCTGATGTCTCTCTCAACCACTGGTGTGTAAAGGGAAAATAAGGTTTATACTACTTGTGCATTCTTTCTGACAATAAAAAGGTAAAAACAAAACATGATATAATTTTTATATTGTCAGCTCCTAACCACATAGGACTGACGCACCTGACTCATCAGCTCTTGTTCCCCTCTTCTCCAATTACACAAAAATAAATAAAATAAAACTTTATTTTCTTTTAAAAAAGGAGAAATATTAAATAAAATATTCAACATTGAAGTATAGAACTGTTCAGGTTATCAGAGAATTAACTAATCTTTAATTAAAAAAGAAAATGCAACAGACAATATAATACTCTGAACAGACCTTAATATCTACTGTATTGTAATACCCTGAATAGAAGTTATGTACTACTAAGCTACTACAAACGATATTTCCCCATCCCAAAATCCCTGTTAAAAAGACCAAAGGTTCTTATTATAATTAGAGCAAACTGATGATAAAAGAAAACGAAGATTAGATAGTGGGCCATATATGTAAAGTATGAGTCAAAGCTAACATTAAAATCCAATTTCCTAATTTATGCAGTGAATTAAAGAATCTTAGTCTTAGCATAATGCAAAAAATAAAATCTAAACCCCAAATATAAAGACCTCATAAGGCTTATAACCAATTTCTGTAGAAATAATAGACTCTTCAAATAGATGTTCCCTTTGCTGTTTTAATATTCCTAGTCTTCCCAAAACTCTTCTTGAGATTCCTGCTTGGTGTTTTAGGATGTTTGGGAAGAACTTGCACTCCACTTGTTTCCAGCTTCTATCCAGTAATTTCTGCTTTGTTTTAAAGGAAATAAAACTTTTTTCCCAATCTTCATGAAAGAAGAACAGGGGGAATCTCCCTCTGTACCTAGATGACAAATAACCCCTCTCTCTTGTAAAGATGTTGAGCCTAAGTGTATAATCTCTTTGAGAGGATCTGTATTTGAAGTGTATAAGTTCTGACAGCTGGCAGGCAAACTACATACATAACAAATCAGTACACAGAACAATATATTGCAAGGGCTAGTCAAAGAGAGCAAAGAATGGTTAATCTTTTTAAAAGGTAGAGAAAATGGAGGAACATTTTGATAAATATGTTTAGGGATGAACAGAGGTAAATAGTGTTTCCAGCACACTGAACAGAATTAAAATAGAAGTGATGATTTTGGATGAAATGGAAGTGAGGGACCCAAGGGTTGGCTATGAGTTTTAAATTGAAATGTTGTTATAAATGTCAGTGTCCCCCCCAAAAAATAAATGTATGAAAATGTTGAAAAATTATAAGACTACACATCTAGGAAGTATTACTAGAGAAATATTAAAATGTGGGTGTTTTCCTTAGGAATAATCACCAGGTTGCTTTGTTTAATGGAACAATGTAGGGCCAGCTTATAAGCTAATATAAGAATCTGCAATAAAGCTAAAAATAAAGCTAAAACATTGCAAGAGTGTTTTTAATGTATGTATATTGGGGATATACTCTTCATTGGAAAACGCAGACCCAAAAATAGAATATAAAGTAGCAAAGTTTAAATAGTTCTACTTTGAAATTCATGGGTCTGAGATCAGTATATTTCCTACATCTTTCTGAAATATTGTGGAGCGTACCTGTCCCAATAGTTTCATGAATTTCATAGTATTTGAGAAGTTCCTCATAGTCATCTACAGCCATTTTAAAATGGAAAAGTGTCTTCTGGAACGACACAACAAAACACAAAACATTCATGAGCTGAATTAATAAAAAACAAAAACAATCACCAGTAAACTAACAAATACTTTAAAATGTTTAAATCTGTGTTCATAAATCTCCTTGGAGTAACATAATTCAAAGAATAAAGCAGTTTTCTTTTATGTTACAGAGAACAGATAATCAAGGCTGCTTGTTGGTCATATACCATTTATCTTACTTGATTTAATTTAGGGAGTTTAGCTTAGTACTTCATGAGGCTCCAGTTCTATTTGGGCAAGAACTGGAAAACAAAGGGATTTTTGATTGTTCTGATTACAAAGAAATGAAGAAATGTTATATTCATACAACCATTTATTAGTTGGCAACATGAGAAAATAATTGAGAACCATTATTTTGCCAGTAAATTCATATTCAGAATCCTTAGCATGATTTACACATAGAGAATAGACAGTAGCAATTTACTCAGGAGACCTTTCTACCTTTGGTCCAGTTCACCAACAAGCCATAGCTTGTTATCAATATTATGTGCTTTCCTCCTATAAATTCTTCACAGAAAATTTGCATGATTATATACATTTTGAAACATTTAAATTACAATTAGCTGCAGCCCAGTTCACCCAGATAAATGGAATTTTGGTGGTCCTCACATGTACATAAAGCTAAGCAATGAAAATGGTTTAAGCCACATCTAGTCATGCTAATGTCATTGTAGTAAACTGTTATAGTTTCCTGAGATGGAATGGTTATCTAGAGTTTTACAGCGTATATCTAGTAGCCCTTGGTTTTAACTTAATATCCTATGTGAATTCAGCATGTATGCAGTATATCAGTTTGGTGTAAATATGGATCCAGCCTCATTTTGCAATGCAGAGCTCTTGCTTGATCTCATTCAGGAAACTCCATAGAAAAGTATGAATGCATGAAGCCCACATATATAAGAATAAAAGCTGTTTATTTAACCCAGTCAAAGGGTTAGAGAGGGAGTAATAAAAGATGGAATCCCATTAGCTTTTACTCATACAATAGCTGTTTTAACATCTGAACTCAATGTCTTATTTTAGATAACAAATGACCTTGAAAGAGGGAAGTAAATATTCATGTTGTTAGATTCGGTCATTTTGGCAAACATTACATTCTACAAACTACAGTTCACATGATGAATGTCATGAATATTAAAACCCAATATGCTGGTAAACTGCTATAGTTTGCTGACATGGAGTGGTTATCTAGAGTCTTACAGCGTATATCTAGTAGCCCTTGGTTTTAACTTAATATCTTATGTGAATTCAGCATGTATGAAATATATCACAGTTTGGTGTAAATGTGGATCCAGTCTCATTTTGCAACGCAGAGCTCTTGCTAGGTCTTATTCAGGAAACTCCATAGAAAAGTATGAATTTGTAACCACACAAATTAATTGTTGCCATATAAATGCAGACAACTACTGAGGTACAGGAAAGAGATGCAGACAACTTTAAACCCAGACAGCTGTAACCTAGCAGCAATCCAGATTTTGTAGCCCTCGTTTTACAACCCATGCATTATTTTAAACAGCAGAAAATGAGCTTTTCTCTCTAACTCACCTTTGAATTCTCAGTACAGCTGCAAAAATAAGTTTATAAGAAGACAAAGTCGAAGCAGCAAAAAGAGTAGAAAAGACATTTAAAAAAATCACAAAACCAACCTCTCACCCAGCGATAAATATTGCAAGAGAGGCGGATAATAATGTTAAGGGGGAAAACACACACACGTACCGTTTTCCAGATGTCACCCACTCTATTCAATTCAACGCTCCCAAAGTTTAAAATTCCCGGAAAACAAAACCGTTTCCGGCTTCCATCCAAACAAAGGGCAATATCCTCGGCGGAAAGGGCGGGATTAGCGACGAAGGAGTGCATGGGAAGAAGGTCAATAAAGCCAAACAAGCCACCAAGACGAAGTAGGAAGAGTGGCGGTTGGTTTGCAGCATTGGACTTTGGGGAGGCGTGGCTTCGTTTCTTCAAATGGCCAATGGGAGGAGCTGCCCGTTGGTTCAGTTCTCTTTCTTCTGAGCTTCAGAAGTGGAGGGATTCTTTGTGTCGATTACACGTGGGAGACGATCGGGGTGGGTCTCTTAGACCAGGAGTCTCCCAACCTTGGCAGCTTTAAGCCTGATGTCCTCCAGGCTTAAAGCTGCCAAGGTTGGGAGGCCCTTGTCTTAGACTCCTTCATCGAATGAATTGAATAATAAGAGAGAATATTAATTGATCACAGTAATCATCTAGGAACAAGATCAGTTGCCACATCTTTCTTCGAGGTGATGCAGTTTCAGCAATCTCTTCCAGAATTACATTTGCAGATTTTCTTTGACCAACTATAAAAGATATTCAAAGAGGTTAAAAATTAGAATGCCGTAAATATAATTAATTACATTGTTGAATTGTAACCATCCCTTATTCTGTTAACCTATGAAGTTTTCTGAACATAACTTCCCATCAAGTTGCTACTGCGTGTGGCAAATGTACTGAAATTAATGAATATAAATGGAGTTAAATCTCACTTTCTGTTTGAAGTGATAACATTTGTATTTATAATAGGAGAAAACCATAATAGCATTAATTTCTAAGAAAAAATAAATCCAGATGTTTTGTTAGTTTACTGTTTTTTTCTTGAACTTATCTCATAATTACCTAAGTCCCATCCTTTCTTTAAAAAAAAATGAAGTTAACATTATGTCTTTAAGAGATATAGTGCTCAGAATTAACTTGGAAAGAGTTTTGTAGTACAAATTGTGTTTGTTTAAAAAAGATTTTGAGAAGCATCAGCTTCTAAACTGATGATATGTTCCAGGAGAAAAGACAGAGTGTCAGTAATAGAACTTATAACAAAAATAGGGATATTAGAAAGAGGTAATATATAGGTTTGTGAGAGGTGTAAATAAAAAGGATTTTGGGGAGCATATATTAGAAATATGGATAAACATGGATAAACATCTTCTAAATATGGATCTTATTTCTCAAGTTTTGAGCAGTTCTTCATCCTTATTCCAGATTTTAGGAAGAATATATTTTAATGACAATTTCCATGAATTTAATTCAAGCTACCCATTATTCTATAGCCTGTAGAGATTCTCAGTCATCCAGTGTATGGTTGTCCCAAAGGTGCTTTTTCAGGAGGCAACTAGATTTTTTTCCTTTTGAAAACGTTTTGCTTCTCATCCAAGAAGCTTCTTCAGCTCCGACAGGAATATCTTTAAGATATACAATTTGGGATGAACACCCTTTGAATGGTATGGGAGTAGGAATAGATTTCCAAAGGAAAAATTGCAGACTACAGGAACCAGGAACACTACTCAGGTGACCCTGAGGACACAGATAAACATCCCAATTATTCAAGGACCTTCTAAAAGGATGCAAATGACCAGCTCTCTGCAAGGAATATAAATCCTTCCATTCCCTACTATCCTGTCAGAGCTGAAGAAGCTTCTTGGGTAAGAAGCAAAACATCTTCAAAAGAAAAAACAAGAAAGTCCAGCTGCCTCCTGAAAAAGCACCCTTGATATGTTATGCTTATGCCCAATTCAAAAATGATTCAAAATGCTTCAGAAATTGTACAAGTAAGGTCAATTTATGACATAATTCTTAAAGAAATTGAAATGTTTCTTTTTAGACATATGGGAAAAAGATGGTGTGCTTTAAAAATAACAGACAAGTGATGGCACAAGGGTCGAAGTATTCTTCCGAATCATTTTCAATGAATACACCATCCTGGTGTGTAGAAAGCTCTCTTTTGTGTGGATAATGAGATTGTGAAGTTTTGCCGTGTCGGAAGCAAGCCAGTGACACTGCTCACTTTTAACTCAAAGTGTAGGTGTTGATAATTGGATGAGAAACTCAGATTATTGAAAAATTGTTAACATCCGTCTTGGCATTTTTTAAATAATCTGACTTTCTCATCCAATTCCTTCCTTCCTTTTAAATAATCTGACTTTCTCATCCAATTACGTCCTTCAAAAATTAGCAGATTAATACCAGATTTCACTCCAAATTTGGATCTACCTATGTCATGTTTAAGTGGGAGAAACCTCACTGAGTTCAATCAACTTCACATGACAGTTGTTCTGGGAAAATAGGGGGCAGGAACATTATGTACCCTGCCTTGAGTTGGGTAAATGAAAAGTGGGATATAAACCTAATAATCATCACATCAGGTGTCCTAATCCATTTTTACTATTTATTTTAATGGGCTCCAGAATTGAAAAATGTCCCCAAAGTGGGGTCTGAATCCTATTTGGAAGCATTTGCTATCCAAGTTTCCCAATGAAGGCCCGATTAATGCTTTCAGATAGAATATTATTTAATTGTCTAATCTAGATGCATAACTATCGGTCAGTAGGTGGCAGCAAACTCCTTCTGTTTCATTTATCTGTTCAGCATTTACCCCTATTCAGTAGCCAGGTCATTATGTAAAAGCTCTCTTAACAGTTGTCTAACTGTATTTTAAAGACCTTTTGAACTCTCTCTTTCTTGTATCCATTCCAAAAACCATCTAGTCTTTGGCAGAAACACAAATGTGCTATCCATCATAATTACTATAAAATCACTTCTACAAGGGTCTGCAATCAATGTTAATGACCTACTGTACAACAAGTGCTTAGCCTTTAGTTGTTCCGTGGAATCCAGTCATAATTACCACGTTGATTGCAGGAAAAAAATGTTCTATTTTAAGCACTGCACTGAAACAGATTTCTCTGGTATAGAATTGTTGTATCTTTTAAGACTTGGTCTATTGATATCTTAAACCACAACATTCCAAAATCATATTAGGGTAATGCCTTTCTTAGGCTCATTCAAAAATCTTGAAGATTGCTAGATTTCTGGATTGGACAAAATGTTGGAAAATTTGGGGGATTAAAGGCTTGGTAAAATCTGCAGTCATCATTTAAACTCTGTTAGTATGTTTTATTTATTTCAGTGATATTTAAGTTTAATTAAGGAACCTGGTCAATGGTTGATTCTCACACTGTATCACACTAAATCTAGGTATACCTGAACCTGACCCATTGTTAAGTACAATCCACAAGTCCCTGGATAGGAGATGCCTGACTGTCTTCTGCTATTTACTATGCATTTTGTATTTCTGCTGAACTTCTTCAGAGACTAGGTAATTCATACTATTAGTACTTCAAGTTACCAAAACCTATAGGTAGTCACTAACAAAGAGTTGTAAGAGCCGGTTGTGCTGTTGTATACATGACTGTGACAAACCCACTTGGTATTTTTTTTCTCTGCAGGGGCATGGAACAATCTAGCTTGCAGCTGGCTTCATTTATTTTCTTCAGAGTAATCTAAATACTGATAATGATAGGATAATAAAGTAACATTCGTAGCATAAGCTAGACTTAAGAAGAATACTATATTGTCACAAATAAGTGAGCCTACAACAAACCCCTATTTTCCCCTTGGATTGTTTCCTTTTAGACCTGATGAGATAAAAACATAATTCTCAGACTTGCATTGTGCAGCTTCTGTTTTAATATTTTATTATCCACTATTTACTCAGTTCAGTTTTTTTTGTTCAGTTTTTGGAGACCACCACTAGTGTCTCCTAGATTTTATAACCTTGCCTTGCAGTTCTGAAAGTGTCTTCTGAACTATTGGACTGTGTGAACTGAGTGATATATAAATATATTAGATAACTAAAAAAAACTGTTTAACAGAATGTCAGGCATAAGTCAGTACTGTTCATTCTATTCATTCAGTTGTTCATTGCCTCTCATATATAAGAATCTAAGCAATACATTTATCAATACTTGATTTTTTAAAAAGTCATGTTAATTTATATGTAAGTTGAATCTCTATAGTTCTTTGAAAAATTTTCCAAGTTTCACTAGATATTTGAAATCTCCCCCTAATGGGAGGATTAAATCTCATAAATCTCTTCCTAGCTATTAGAGAAACATTTGTAGTGTTTGCTTCTCCACTGTTCAGACAAGTGGGATAGGCATTTGTGGATATGAACATATTTTCCCCACCTGATCTCCCAGAATTATGAAATATGAATATCAGCTCTAAGACTTTCATCCAGAAAGTCTCCCCCATCACTACTGAAAGGAAGAAAAATCATGCCAGCCAAGGAAAAATATACCGTATATACTCGAGTATAGGCCGACCCGAATATAAGCCGAGGCACCTAATTTTACCACAAAAAACTGGAAAAGTTATTGACTCGAGTATAAGCCTAGGGTGGGAAATGCAGCAGCTACCGGTAAATTTCAAAAATAAAAATAGATACCAATAATGTTTTTGAATATTTATTTCAAAGAAAAACAGTAAACTAGCGGTGTATTCAATGAAATACTTCACTCACCTCATGATGCTGATGTCCCGCTGTGATGATGATGTCCCGTGCAGCCGCGGGAGCGATGTCCCGCCTCCTATGACACACGGCACAGTGATTCCTATCATTGGATCACTGTACCAGAGGAGGTGGGACATCGCTATGTGGCTGCTTGCCATAACAAGGAGGAGGTGGGACATCGTTGCAGAGCGGCAGGAGGGGGAGGAAGGGGAATCGTAAGACAGCCCTGCATTACATTAGAACGTGAGGAGGGGGGATGGTGCGGTGCGCGCTGCGCGGCAAACTGACACAGAGGGAGGGGAAACTCACAGGGGCACTGGGCCATTCACGAGTGTCACCCAGCGGCATGGCCCCGCCCCTTTTTCTCCTCCATTTCGGGCAAATTTTTCACTGACTCGAGTATAAGCCGAGGCGGCTTTTTTCAGCCCAAAAAGTGGGCTGAAAAACTAGGCTTATACTCGAGT